CGAACGAAACTGCCGATCCGCTTTATTGTACTGTACGTGGGGTGGTCGATGGCCAAATTGAAACCGACGAGTTGTCTACCTACCCAACGGGTCACGTCTACGCCTTTCTAGAAACGGCGTGGATGGACGAAGACGTGTGGCTCTTCTACCAGAGGGAGCCCCTTAAAATTGAGCTTGTTGGCCCAACGACGCTGCTGGTGGATAACTTGTCAACCTTTTTGTCCGTCCCAGCACGACAGGTCGTGGATGACGAGTTGTACTCGTTTCTGGTGCACCTGCCGGGAAATACAACGAGTGCTTGTCAGCCACTTGATGTCGGGGTGATTGGCCCTCTGAAGGCAAAGAGGCGTGCCCTATGGATGCGCGAAGTGCCCGTGATTTTTGCCTCGGAATGCGAATGAAAATGTTCGAACGTACCATCACAGCGTGGGAATCGATAAGCAAAGAAACGATCAGGAAGGCGTTCATGAAAGCCTTGCCCAACGTGGCGCCCGAAATTACCCAGCCATGAACTCAGCTAGTTTGAAACATACTTGGTATTATTGCAATTTTATCAATTGTCTTACTCAATACTGCCGTCCTTGTGTCGGATGGTAGAGTGCAAATGGTTGAACGACTTCTTTGAGAGTCGTTCGCGTAGTCAGTATCAACTAACAGTTCAATTTGGAACGTCTTGGTATTGGATTTTGTGTAAATTAGTCCGTCATCTTTGGAACCATTGAAATACGTAAAATACATTTTGCCATTCAAATGTGTTCTGGTCGTTTATGTCTTGAAAGCAATGTAGCTGTGTATGCGATATCTGGCCTTGTAGTCGTGGACGGGTAGAGTAGTTCGCCCACCACATTGCGCAAAGGCAACTCAGGTGACGAGTCGGAAGGACCAGGAGATTTGAGTGGAAGGGTGCATTCCTGGGGAGTCGAGATTGCGTTGAAATATGAGAGACAATGCTCTGCGAGAATGTCCGAGAAGTACTTGCAGTGTTGGAGGGAGATTGAGCCATCGGGATGGCGGAATACTTCAATGCCAAGGCAATATGTCAAGGGACCGAGGTCCTTCATGGTAAAGCGGGAAGACAAGTTGCGCTTCGTGATATCCATGAGATCGGTGGTATTGGTCAGGATGATGACGTCGTCGACATACACGCCCACCAAAACTAGACCTTGTGTAGTGGTGTTGAAGTAAATGCAAGGGTCGGACTTCAGAGAGGAAAATCCTTGAGTACGGAAGTACTTGTCAAGAGCATTGTTCCATTCACGGGAGGATTGTTTTCATTGTTCAGTCGACAGACAAGGTGTTCTGAACCAGGGAGAACATAGCCAGTAGGTGGACGCGTGTAAAGCGTTTCTTGCCCGGTTGCATTGAGAAATGCAGTTTGCACATCCATGTGGCAAACTTGGAGTGAGTAAAATGTAGCGAGTGCAAGTAGAAAGCGAATACTCAAAGTGCGAACGACGGGGGCGAAGATGTCCGTGTAATCAACGCCAGCAACTTGAGCGAAGCCTTGCGCCACTAAGCGAGATTTGTAGCAAGATAGGGAACCATCAGCAGAATATTTCTTGGTGAAAATCCAGCGGCAACCAATGCGTTTGCGTCCAGGAGGAAGCTGGCAAAGTGTCCAGGTGTCGTGTTGCATGAGAGAGTCGTATTCAGCATCAGTGTCATTGATGCATTCATCCTTCTCTTCCGACTTGAGAGCTTGTGCAATGTGACGGGAGACTTGTCGTGAGAAGGGCAAAAGCGAGGAGGATTCAGAATCATTGGCGCTAAATGTAGGAACATCATCTTCGTCTTCAGGATCGCCGTGAGTTCGTGGACGCCTGCTTGTGACTTCAAGAATTCATCTGTGTCCATGTCAACGGAACAATCACCAGGAACAGGAATCGTAAAATCATCAGGAGCAGGGTGCTCTACTGGCGTTTCTTCTGGTGCGTCGTGAAAAGGAGGGTGCGTACCAGGAGATGTTGGTGAACAACCATGTTGAATGTCATGTTTTACGCGCGGAGATGAGGAAGACGAAGGAGGCGGTGCAACATCGTCTTGATGCTGCGGAGAGTCATGTGTTGAAGCAGGTGAAGAGACGAAATTGGCGAATGGGTGCTCGAAGGAGCAGCCGGTGGAGGCGAGTCAGTTGCGCTACCGGCAGTCGTTTGGACGCGAATTGGAGTTGACACGGTATCGTCCTCTCGATATCGAGGAGGTGGCCTGTGAGTGCGTTGGGAGCGTCGCAATAGAGTAAAAGGCTCTTCATCCTCAGGTACCGAGGGTGTTTCTTCAGGTAAGAAAATGGTACTGTCAACAACGTCAGGTACGTCGGGTCGAGACTCATGGAAGAACAGGCTCGTTTCATTGAAAACAACATTCCGGCGAGATGCGCAATATAAACGGTAGCCTTTGACGTTTAGTTCGTTACCAAGGTACGAATGATCTTCGAGGCAAACTTGGACCGATCATGCTGCTCAACATGAATAAACCCTTCGCAGTAAAAGACGCGTAAGTTGGAGAGATCTGGTCGCTTATTGAATAGGCGCTCGAAAGGCGTACCGCCAGGGGTCGACGACGAGTAAGTCCTGTTGCGAAGGTATGTCGCATGAGAGATAGCATCAACCCAGAATAGGAGCGGGGCATTTGCATGGTGAAGAATAGCACGCGCGCTCTCGACCAAAGTGCAGTTCATACGTTCGTTTACTCCGTTTTGTTGAGAAGTGTGGGGAACAGCCTTCTCGTGACGGATGCCGTTGTCAAGCAGGAATGTAGAGAAATTCGTCTAGACATATTCACCCCCATTTTCAGAGCGAAGGAGACGCACTGGTTTATTGAATTGAGTGCGGCACTGTGTGACAATGTCTTGAAAGCAGCGGAAGGTTTCCGAACTTTGTTTGAGGAAGATGACAAAACGTAACGGGAAAAGTCATCCGTAAACGTAATGAAATAGAGATGTCGACCGCAAAGGGACGAATGCTTCAACGGACCGCATATTCGGAATGGACAAGTTCGAATGGTTCCGAGGTCGTCGAGGTGGATTTTTGGGGAAAGGGCAATCGTGATTGCTTCCCAGCAAGACAACTTGAGCAGAATTGATGACTGCAAGTGTCAATGTCAATTCCATCGGTGTATTGCAGCGTCTTCTTCGTGTGCTTGACTATGATATGACCGAGGCGAGCATTGCCATACATCGGCAGGTGTCGCAGAGAGGAGGACATGGTGATGATGTAGATTCCATGAATCTGAGTTCTCAGCGGCAATTGATTCGCGATGTCGAGAAA